TACACAAATATAAACATTTGTACAAAATATAAAATAAATGACATATATTTCACTTGATTCTTCCGTATTTCAAATAGTTCTCCGAAACGTATAGTTCCATGTTCCATTTTTTTTAGTTTTTGTCCTCTTGTCTTTAATAGGTATTAGGTAGTGGGTATAATAACTATGTTTAGGTAGATGTGACGCAAAATTCGAAATCTACACATATCGTTTTAAACATTTTGCATCAATATTCATTATTTTATATGCACCTTACAATAACCACAACTGCACACACTATAAATTATCACATAAAATAGCATCAAAGTAACGATCATGGAGACTATTCTCCCTGGTAACGATGAAGAACAACTAAGCCAGGCAAACGGGTAAAGGCAAACCGCAAACCTAACCTAACACCTAACATAATACGAATTGAAAACGGCACACGAGAAATAAATAAATTCGGGCTGTTACGCGCGGTCTGCGCAAGTCACGAACATACATTTTTTCTAGACTTGTGTTATAAATATGCTACCACAATTTTTTTTCTGTTTATGTCTGGTTGTACATATAACAAAGGCAAATGAACTAACGCTTGCTATAATGATGGGGCTTGAGAGCAAAATTTAAGTAATGCCGAATGGAAGTTCCATAAGATAAACAAAAGCAAAGGGTTGTTTGTTAGTCGTTGTTACGTTTCCGAGATCGAAAGGGAATGTTTCGAGTAATGTTTCAAACTCTCTTCAATTGGAATGTTTCGGCACTAAGTAAGTTTTCAAGTGCTACATTTCTGTAATGAAACAACAACGTTTCTAGTTATTGTTTCAAATGTGTAGTAAAACAGCTCATTTGCAACGTTTCATTTACGTTTCGTGTTTAGTGGGATACTATAGTATTAAATGTTTTAATTTGTTGGGATAATAATAATTTAGCGTTACCTACGCCCTTTACAGGTATCAAAAATCCGCTTGATATCAGGCTCCTGAAAAAAGTTATTAGCATCTCCGTGGACCCTTGCATCTGTCCAATTTTTTTTTTAAAAAATAATATCTCAAAATCTATAACTCCTAGGTATAGGGAATATTTAATAAAGTGACCCTCAAATTTCATGTAGAATCCGAAAATGCAATAAAATACACGGTGTTCCGTTCAAATGCCATGTTGCCAAATTTTTAAATTTTTCGGAGTGTATGCTTTGTGCTCAAGAATAAAAATTATTTCTAGTTTCTAGTTTTCTGATCCACCAACCAGGAGCGTTGAACTTTTAAACAAACTCAATACTAGAGCTTCCACTCTAATGTTTTTACAGTTTTGCACAAGGGAAGAAGGTAAAAATTAAAATATCTGTTTCATTTAATATATAATAGTTTTATTTTTTTAATTTCAGTTTTACAATTAAACAGTATCTAAACGAATCACTGATAATTTATTAGATAATAAAGCATATAAAGTATGTATTATCATAGGCGTAGCCAGGGGGGCAAGGGGCAAGGTGGGGCACGCGCCCCTCTTGTTCTTGCTGCATGCTGCAAGTTTCAAAAATTACATTATTATTACTGCCTATTCGTTCTGTAGTACAGTTTTACATTAATATAAGAATATAAACAGAATACATATATTATTTATTAAAACGGTCAGGTTGAATCATTTTAGACCTCTTTTTCCTTTTGGCCGTTGGGTAGGAAGACTTTTGCAATAAATTGCTCGCATTACCTAATATTATATTAAAATAAATAAACTCTTTAATTATTTATATATATTTATAAATTTTTTTCAAAATGTATGGTAATGTAAGGCAAAATTTCAAAAAAGGAAAAACCCAGAAAGCGAACAATACATCCCCGAAGGTTTTTATGCGCTGAATCCGAATCTGGCCTCAGAATTGATCCATCAACCTAGGTTTCCGAGATATTCTAACCTAAATGTGTAAAAACACGGTATTTTGCTATATTCAAGGTTATATGACGTCGCGAATATTTTTTTCAAGTCAATTACATCACCGAAAAGTAAAATCTTTACCCTTCAAAACCCATCTTTCGATTTGAACTGTAACTTTTTAACTTTTAAACAAATACGAATCGACCTATGTTCATGCAAGTGAAAATGTTTGGAATTAACCATCTATCAAAGCTTGTCATAGAGCTTGTAGAACACCCTTTATATTTATGATTATGGCACTGGTATTAAATCTTTACATCAAATTTATGATGATTATCAGCTCTTTTCCGCAAAATTAGTTCCTTGTATGTAATCTTAACGGCAATTAAAATTATAAGTAATAAATTTAATGAAGTGGAATGGTACCTAAGTACCTACTTCATTTAATACCGTTTTAATTTCTAACTTTCAGTATTAAACAGTACCTAAATGAAACACTGACATTTATTTATTAGGTAATAAAACATATATAAAGTATGTACCTATTCATCAATTACATAATTCCTGCTAAAAATACAATATACACATATTGGACAAATTACTCTTTCAAATGTGGTTTTAAGTAAATTTCTACCAGTTCTTCAGAATTTTCAAATGTGATGGGTTCTTTGGTGAAATAAGCAACAAATTCTCGTAGTGTAAAAAAATCTGGTGGTTTGATGGTTCCTTCAGTATTCAACCGCAGTTTATTGTTGGGGCTTCTCTCTATTCCAAAATTGTAAATTTTGTTGTTGTGTTTAACAGTCAGGACCAAAAAGTAAGTTTGACTGGGCCTGAATAAAAATGCTCCATTTTCGAACCGTGACAAATTTTGCTTTGCACCTTTCCTGTCTGTGTTTCGGTAGAAGGGTTCTTCACTTAAATTAACTAAAAAAAAAACAATAATTGTCGGATCTGAATTAATCAATTTCTTATAAGCACATTTAAATATACGCAGTGTGTCCAATTAAGAACTAGGACCGCTATAAAATTTTCTAAGACGCACGATTCTAATGACGATTTTTTTATCCCGTAGAGACTTATTTTATAACGTAGAAAAATATTGATTTTTGGATTATTTTATAGTCATAGGTGTTTGATAAGAAATTCGGTACATCCAGTCACACCAAAATATCACATTTTTCCATATAAAAACTAAAATTGCATTCAAACCCAGCTGAGAAGGAAAATTTTTCGACATGAAGTTTTTTCGGCCAATATTGCGGACTAGTTGTTAATACATAGGTTTAGGAGGATTATGGTTTTCATCTGAATCTACAAGAGAGGAAGTGATGACACCCCGTCAAAATCCAGCCTTGTCACCTACGATGAAGTTGCTACCAGCTTGAAGATATTGCAGAAGAAGGTGAAGCCATCCTTAAATAGTCAAGAACTGAAATGTTTTAAGAATCCTTTACTGAAATATAAGGGCGGATTTGCCCTATCTGAAGATGACATGGGATGAACTGGCATAGTTCAGCACAAAACCAGTACTGGTGATAATGCACTCATTAAGTAAAGGCCAAAAGAATTCCATTCACTAAACAAGTGAAAATGTTAACAAAATTAAAAGTTCCGAAAACAATTATTATCCTTATACATTTGTTTTTATTAACAAATAAATAATACTTGTTAATATTTAAAATTAAAAAAATATCTTATTCATTCATGCACCTAGGTAAGAGGATCTATTTATTCCTTTTCGTTCACTAAAAACAAAACTAGGTTAGTGACCGAATAATACGGTAGGTCAAGATTCACTCTCGATAAACCTTTGTCGATTTTTTTCTCCTTAAAATTAATGACAATATGACTGAATCACCCTGTATACATATAAAAAGAATAATCCGAGTCGTGCATCCCAAAATATTCACAGGTTTGTCCTGGTCTTAATGGGGAATACTGTAAACACATAAATACTATAAAAAACTTAGGAGAATATTTAAAATAGTAAAATGTTAATCAAAATAATTGTTAAAATGTACTTAAATTCATCATTTTGACCTGGTGGTTCTGTACAATCACAAATTATAATTATTTAATCCTGCCAATAAGAACAAAGTTTTTAATACAAAAGTTTTAGCTTTTTTTATGAATTTTTATAACACAGTATTAAATAAAACAATTGAATAATGGAAATTACTAAATTAAAGAATTTTTTTTAAATGGAACAAACACCCTATATATTAGTGCATACTTGCTTCGTTAAATTTTTCTCTTTTTAAAAATATATAATATGTTACTGTTTGATTCAGGATCAGGACTTTTCGACATTTCAGTTTTAAACTATTTTTGAAAAAACAGGAGGGATGGATAGCAGTGGCTATGGACGAGGCACGCGGAATAAACAAATGACTTTGACAGATGTTTATTTATCACCGTTAATTTATTTCATATAACAAACTATTCTAACAAAGAAATAATGTTTAGTGAGAACGAAAAATTTGAAGTTATCCTTTTATTTTAGAAGAATAATAATAATGTGAATGCAGCGCGCGCCGAGTATGCTCGTTTGCACCCGGGGTTTCCAATTCCATCCATGCATTTTATGACATTGAGCGACGCTTTAGAGAAACAAAATCTCTTGGAAGACAAAAACGAAGAATTATTCCAAATGAAGAATTAGAACTAACTATATTACTATATTTTCAAGGTAAGCAAATATTTATTCGAGTTTACCATGGTAAAATCAAATATTAAATTATCGTAGAAAGGCCACAAGAGTCCACAGTAAATGCTTCAAGACAGTTAAACATAAGCCAAAGTAAAATTATTAGAACGTTACACAAATATAAATATCACCCCTATAAAACTATGCCCGTTCAAAACCTCACAAAAAAATTTTGCGATTAGAGTATCTACTGCAGAGAAACGCGAAATGGCGACATAAACTATTTTGAAAAGACTTTATGGACTGATGAGGAGACTTTTACAACAGCTGGCATTTATAATAAGAAAAAATACTCATACCTGGGCAAATGAAAATCTTCGCTATAATAGGGAAATTCCAAGTCAAGGACGCACATCGTTTAATGTTTGGTGCGGTATATTGAGAAATAAAATCATTGGCCCACTATTTTATAAAGGTGCTTTGACTGGGGAAAGAAACCTGCATTTTCTTGAAAATAGAAAACAAATTGGAAGACCTGCCGCTGATCGACTATACCAATTTAATTTGACACCAAGATAGAGCGCCACCGCATAGAATCAGAGCAGTACGAAATTATTTAAATAATAAGTTTGATTTGTGGATTGGTAATGGAGGAAATATTCAATGACCTTCAAATAGACCAGGCCTTACACCCTTGGACAGTTTTCTGTGGGGTTACTTAAAAAACGAAATTTATAAGGAATCTAGTGTTAAGCTAATGTTAGATGAACTAAGGACATAAAGTTGATCAATGTATACAAAATTTAAGTGAATTTAATTTCCATCTCATACTAAATGCAGTTCTGAAAATTAATGAAGATTATACGAAGTACATCAATAATAATGGCGGTCACATTGAGCATTTGTGACCATCTGTGTTTTAGTTGGTTTTTATATTAATTAGGTATTAACATTCTGTTAAAGTTAAGAATGAGTTTTATTATTATCATAAAATAAACGGATAACTTCAAACTTTTTGTTCTCACTAAACATTATTTCTTTGTTAAAACAGTTTGTTGTAAGAAATAAATTAATGATGATAAATAAACTTCTCTCAAAGTCATTTGTTTGTTCCGCGTGCCTCATCCATAGCCACTGAAATATGTCGAAAAGTAACATATTATATATTTTTGAAAAGAGAAAAATTTAACGAAGCTAAGTATGCACTAATATACAGGGTATTCTATTTAAAAAAGATCTTTTCTTTAATTTAGTGATTTCCATTATTCAATTGGTTTTTTCTAATACTGTATTATAAAAATTCATAAAAAAGCTAAAAGTTTTGTATTAAAAACTAATAAATTATAGTTTTAACTTACAAATACTGTCACCAAGCCTTTCCTCTTCTTCAGGAGTTGGTATGCCGGGACGGCGCTGATTGTCGTTTCCTTTATAATTTTTCATCGTATGGTGTTCATAATTTAAATTTGCTGGTTTAGGAGGTTCAAGTGTACTATTAATATTCGCCCTCCTTTCGCCTTTCGTGGGGCCACTGGAATTTCTATTTGAAATCGCCTTTGCCTTAAATGAGTCCCTTCTTTTACTAGGAGGAGTTGAAGAAATGATATTTGCACTTGCTGTATTTGGAGACATGCTGCTTTTTGGAATTTCAGGTAAAGCTCTTTTAAAAATTGGTACAGGCGGAGGGCTTTCAGGGATGGGAGATGGATTGAGGGACGGATTGGGAGAGTCTGGTTCAATGTTGCCATAAATTGGCGGGCTTTCGTCGTCAAATTCCGATTCTGTTTCGCTCTCTACGAATTGTTGTTTGTTTTGTTGCCTTTGGTCTCTTTCCATCAATTTTTGTGACAACAATAAAGCGAGACTTTGCACCGATTGTGTATTGGCGGCGTTGAGATTTTGATCTGGTTTTATCGAATTTTCAGCGTGTGCTTTCCCTTTAAAATGTCTATCGGGAACATGTTTCGATGATTCTCCAGCTATATATTTGTTTGTCTTTGTAGATATTGAAGGATTACCACCTAGAAATTAGAGAATATGATTCAATACAAGGTGATTCACAACATATCCAAAAAAAATTGGAAATAGATGCGTCATGAAAAAAGGAGTCAATATCGCAAAAAAAAATATTGAAGTTGTAGTATTTTCAACCCTTACATCGTTGGGCTACTGTAGCCTTTAGCGTCATTCGCGTTATGCGCTGTGCGCAATGCGCTTTCCGAATACTGAAATCCGATTTCATTATTAACGTGTTTACATTAGTTTTTCAAGTGTCAAAAATGGCTAACGTGCAGCAAGACAACATTTGTGTTATGGTGAAGCATTTGTTTTATGGTGGGTTAGATGGGCCCAAATGTGCTTACACGTCGGTGGACAAAATTTTTAACAGTTGTCAGGTATGTCAAATTATTTTATTAATTAAAACCACAAATTAATTTTATTAATTAATAATAACAATAGTGGCAAAAGTAGTTGAATTGGCTGATATAAAATAGGTGTTATTTATTTCTTTCTTTGGGAAAGAAATAGTTCAAATTTTGTGTCCGTTCATTTTTTATTACACTTTGCCACCGTGTTGGTCGCTGACTACATGCTTTACCTTGCACAGGTCAGGTTTTACAGTGGACCAGTTCCCAGTGCCGTGCAGAAGTGTATTTTTAAATCATTTTCGAAATGACCTTTTTGATTTATTTTTTACAAAAAAATTAAATAAATAAGCGTCTTTTTAGACGATACGTCCATGAAACTGAAATATGCACTACTGTAAAAATGTAAGGAAACAAAAAAATTTCACAAATTTTTAGTGATTTTTGAAATGGAGTATCTCAGTGAAAAATGGTCGTGTCGAGATATGATGAAAAAAGTATTTTGAAGCATTTCTAAGAAGAAAAAATTAAAGTTTACAAAAAGATTTGATTAAGTTTGAAAGAAACTTTTGATTAAATTATTTAAAAAAAAAAGATTTGAAAAGAATTGTACATAAGTAAAAGAAAATATTACAAAAGACGAAATTCAGCTTAGGGTGTCAATTTTGCAATTAAATAAAGATTAATAATGGTATGCAAAGGTATCAGAAACAACTAGATTTTGTTTTCCCAAATATCCAGCAATTTTTTTAAAAGAAAAAGAATATAAAAACATTTATGAAAAAATTTTTTAAAAATTGTTTGAATTTTTATTTTATTATATATTTAAACAATATCTAATGTAAAATTGTGGGAAAAGTCGAGAAAAATTATTTCTATTTTAATAAGGATTATATAATGTTTAGCGCTAAAACTTTGATCATTTGGAACAGAAAAACTGTTCGAAGGATGTACTTGTCAATTTAAAGGGCTATTGTGGGCACATTGAGCTGTAAAAATGTCTCTCAACATTAGTCTTTTCATCAATACATATTTGTAAATTAGCGGTAGATTTTCCAAAAGAGCGTAAAATCACTTTTTGGCACTTTATCAAATTAATGTCGAGGATGAAAAAAAAATTTTCTTCGAAAACCATGGTAGGTCCTTGTAGAGAATTTATTCAGTTTTTCAAAACCGTCCTTGGATTTACTGTGCAATAATTTGTTGCTGAGATATCAATGATTACAGACAAAAGTGTAATTTTTCATTAAACCATCGGTAACCAATAGTCGTAAGGAGACCTTTCAGAAAGCAAATTGAAGCTGAATAAACAAGCTAACTGAGCTCTGCATTGATTGAGTTCGAAAAAAAATTCCTCAATGCGTGGACAGTCCTAAACAAAAAGAAAATAGAATTTTTTTTCCCGAGGTAGTATTTCTTTTGGTTGCTCGATAATCGTAGATCAAAAACAATTTTTTTGTCAAAAAATCTTGAAACTAGAGACTTGAAGCTTCAAAATGCTTTTTTTTATCTTGTCACGACCATTTTTCACTGAAATAGAGCCTTTCTACAATCGCTAACAAATGTTATTCCTAATAAACTCTTTCTCAATATTGATCTTTTACTGAGAGATATTAGTCCACATTTCTTTGATATTTCTAACAAATGTACAACGTATACGATTTACACCTTTGTTTATTTATCAACTTACCTACGTTCATTTGAAATATCTATTTACAGTGTAAATATTTCTGTTTTTTCAATATTAATTAAGAAAAAAATAAACAAATAAAACAGCAGTTAATACGCTTTTTTACAATTTTTGCAACTTACAACTTTTAGGTAGGTACTTACAACTCTTTTTATATACTATAAATTTAAACATGAAAGGATTTTGATAGAAATTGATACGGAACAATATTTTAGATGGTCTAGATCTAGAATAACATGATGTCATTAGATTTCGAATAAAAATTACTTATACAATTTTTCAAAAGTTGTCTTCGAAACAAAGGTCAGCAATCGCGATTTTACCGACAAGTGACCAATGGCAAACCAATGCGGTACCTACTTTGTAGATCAATTGGTTAGTTATAATTTTTTAATGTTGTTTTTTAAATGCAATTGTCATACCATGAATGTCAGCTGAATTTTCATAAAGTTGCTGGTCTTCAGAATATTCCGTTTTCGATGTATTTTCGTAAATCAACTGCTCGCCGTCGTCGTCCGTATCTTGAGCTTTTGCAGTATTTTCATAAATTTGGTCTTCGTCATCCGAATCATCAGTTTCTTGTGAAATGGGATGTTTTCCGGTAACAAGTTTGTTGGTAAGTTCAACGTAGTTATCTCCGCAATGTGAACTAGGAGAATCTTCCCTAGGTGGGAGAAAAGGTCTTGAAAATAGGATGGCTGGCCTCGATCTCACAGGTGTTGGGGAAACAGGAATCTGGGGCAAAGGCCTATTTCGTACTGGCATTTCCGCTGGGTGATTCTGCTTCTCCCCTTGAATGTCGTAATTTTCGTATACACTTTTTATTTTAGTTATCCCCTTAAAAATGTTAAATGTTGACGTTAAAAAGGAAAATTTTGATTCCTGTTGGGAAGCATTTTCGTCAATAACTTCAATAGTGTTTCTTAAATCGTTTACAGTAGTCTTTGGAATAACACCATCGGACATATTAAGGGGCAATTGCTGTAATATTTAAATTTGTAATTAACGACAAGAAATTAAATGTTATATACACAGGGTGTCCGCATTTCTCCGTTTATAACTTTGGAAAGGGATAGAGCGGGGTGTTTCCTATAAAATTTTTCTCTAAAACGTTTCATTCTCGTGATAAAGCGCGTTAAATTTGTATTTATTTTTTTTGTATTTTTGACATGAAAAATATTAATCATCTAAAGTTACTGGCATAATTATGGGGTTTTGTTCGCATTTAAATTCTCCTACACTCTACTCCCATAGTGGAACATATTTTTTCTGTTGAAATCTTGATTCTCTTTTCTAAAAAATGACCAAAGTCGCTACAAATCCCAATTTTTTAGATATTTTCAATTATTTAGTGATTACAAATATTGTTAAAAAAATATTATAGGATGAAGTAGTAGACGGACATCATTTTCAGCATTTATTAGATAAAACTGTTTGTAGATTATTATTTTTCATTGTTTTATTTTTAATAAATATGAAAATTTATTATTTGAATATTATTCCATTATAAAATCCAAACTACACCAACAAGCAAACTGATGTGATATGACATTTCTCAGTATTGTTGTTAAAAAGTTGTAAACTTGCAATGCCTACTTAATACTATAATTTTTAGCCAATATTTATGTAATTGCAAAAGATAATCCATTCTAAAAAAGTCAAAATATTTTTCATAATTTTTTCAAAAAATTATTTTGCGGAAACTATCGAACCGATTTTAATGAAATTTGGTGTGTTTTATTATACTCTATATATGCCTTTTTTTGATCATTTATTGCTATTTTGCAACATCGGTAATAAATTTAAACATTTTTAACTTACAGTATATTGTGCAGAATTCAATTCTAAAACTTCGTTTCTTCTGCAACATTCTTCCAAAATGCATAGGTTCCAAGATATAAGTAAAAAACTTAGATATAATAGGTATTTTTTAAATTTTTTAAACATTTTGGCAATTTTAAAAATGTTCCGGACCTCGCCCAGATCTAGGGATCTACACTTTTATTACGTGAATTGTACTGAAGTAATCCAGAAAAAATTTTCTTGCCCCCTCTCACATCCACCTGAAAACAGATTCGCCTTGGTCTTTACACGAAAAATGTTTTTCATGTTAAATATTAGGTTTTTATTATTATTAATTGTGCCAAGTTTTAGCAAAATATATTTGTATAATAGATATACGTATAGATTTTTTAGTTGAACGTGTATCATGAGAACGCAACGTTTTAAAGAAAAGCAGGAAACATCCCTATTATTTTTGCACGAAAATCCTGTAAAAAGGACGTTCCAGGACTAATAGTAAAAAATGAAAAAAATTGACCAAACAGGTAAAGACATATGGGATGATCCATGTCAACCGGATTAGTGTTACGGCTACGACCATAATTTGGAGTAACCAAAAAATTCGATCAAGGCCTCATTTTAAAGCTTAGGGTGTCTACTCTCAAATGTTGGGTGCGCCTTTGCAAAATCCAATATGTCGACTCCAATATTGCTCCTGAAAGTTCTTAATTTTTTTTGGAAGAAATTTAAAATCGTACATAACATTTTTTTTTGCTCAATTTGAAGTGCTATATATACTTCCCAATGTGTTTTGGTCTCCTAAACACGAATCCGGTATTAGAATTTAGCTTTCACATCACATTTTTTTTCCAACTTCAAAAAAACTGGTAAAAACCACTAAAAATGTGCGAAAATGTATGAGAAAAAAAAAAAGAAACCGGTTGGACTAGGGAATCGTCTATTGAGCTTCTTTAAGATTTTTTTATGGTCTTGTTTGGTTTAGTGAAAAAACTGTATAATTTGGAATCTTGATCCAAGTGTAGAGTGGGAATGAATTTAAAATGGCGTCATTCGAAGAAGCTTGTAAGCTGAAACGAGTCGCTGCACATTTTAGACATGCTCCAAGACAATCAATCGCACATTTGCCATACGAGGCAGCGTTGCAGTGCCATTCAGCATCAATATTGAAATCGAGCTTATGATGCATCAAAAAGTTCATTTGAATCCTGTTCTTAAAATGTTGTTGCCTCCATCTTGGGTCCGCCAAAACTTTTGAATTTTGACCCTAGATTCGTGATCAGCGACCCCAAAAACCGACTTATACCAAATTTGATATAGATCAGTTAATTTTCTAAAATATTGCCCGCCATATTGGATCCGCCATAATGAATTTTGCGGATCCAACTTCAAATTCGTAATCAGGTACCTCAAAAACCCCCGTATCCTAAATTTGGGGTAAATCGGTTGAATTTTTTAAAAAATTAGAATTTTTTTTGAAAATATCGATTTGTGATTAATATTTTTGAGGTTAGAAACAGCTGAGACGTGCCAGCTTAATCCTGGAGGTGGATTTGGATTCAGCGGGTCCATTTCCTCATGGAAGAAGAGAAGAATATGATAAATGCAGGTTTCTTTTTCTCTCTTACATTTTCGCACTGGTGTTTACCTGTTTTTTTGAGATTAAAAAAAAATGTGATGTGATACCGGATTCGTGTTTAGGAGGTCAAAATACATTGGGAAGCATATATATGTATAACTTCAAATACGGACAAAATTTCTTTTTACATGTGTTTTTAAATTTTTTTCACACAAAAATTGAGAGCTTTCAAGCGCCATATTGAAGCCGCCATATTGGATTTTGCAAAGGCTCACTCAGCATTTGAAAGTAGACGCCCTAAACTTTAAAATGAGTCCTTGGGAGATTTTTTGGTTACTCGTAGCACTGATCGTCCCATATGTGATTTTTTTGTCCTATGAACAGATATCCTAAAAACCATCCCTTTCAAGCTATAGCCTTTTAAATTGTTAAAAAAATATTTTGTTTGATTACTCATTAACAATGCCAAAATTGAATAAAACCGTATTTTTTTAAATATGAATCACCTTTTAATACATTTTGTGAAAGATTGGGCGATATATGAATTTATTTACCTCGTAGTCGTTCATATCCTCGTCTACAGTCATTTTCGAAGGAGATTTCCTATCCGAAATATTTGGCATGTTCCTATTTCCTCTGACATTGTCTACTGGAGGAGACAGTTCGTAGGTATTTTCTATATTTTGGTATGTCTCCTCGGAATCTTTGTTCACAGTGGTAGAACGAACTTTATTTATTACCCTTTTCTTTGGTAAGTTAGGAGACTTACTCTGCTTCCGTTGTGCTACTGGTACATCAATAGGTTTGAGATAATCGCAAATAGAATCTTGCTTCGTTAGATCCATAGGGGGGGCCATTTGCAAATAATAATCGTCTTCAATTATCTGAGTAGATGGCTCAAGTTTTGTAGTTTTTGGAAAAGACGTAGAAGTTTTCTTGTTAACAATATTCGTGTTTTTAAAAGCGTCGTTTCGTGGGGGTGGAGAAGGCGGCGGTGGGGGTGGAAGAGGTTTACTAGAAGGTTTGTTTTCATTTTGGATGGATGGTAGAGGTCTGGTTTTCCCCACTTTTGGTATTGTAGAGGTGCTACCGACGATAGTCGCCGATGCGCCTAGAAGACCTTCTAATTTATTTTTCAATATTCTGTTCGATTCAGTATTTTCCCCAGATTTGCCTTTTGCAAGGAATGGTTTCTGTAGCACTTTTGGTTTAGGTTGTACCATCAGTAGAGCGGGTTCATCTTTAATTTGTTTTATGCAGCTCCATAAACTTCTTTTTTGGGATGGATTCAATTTCCATTTGAAAATTTCAAATTCTTTTAGTTCCTAAAATGTAATTAGGCATACTTTTTGGTAAACTCTATAAAAAAGTCGGTTTTTAGAATGTGCTTGAAACTTTTTGAAACTAAAGTAGCAGATATAAGAGCAATAAATAAGCTTTAAATAATAGCTTCAATATTTTTTTACTGTAGGTTCTCCTTTATTCTATTTTGTTTTCTAATAGTAACAAGAATGTTTTTTGGTAGGTAAACATATGACTAATCCGAGGTGTTAACTTTTTTTTGTTATCAAGAAAATGGCTGACAATAGACAATACATAAATTCTCTTGAAAGGGAATTATGAGTTCTGTATTTCAAGTTAGGTTCAGAACAGATATCTGTAAATAATAATATCTACTTACTATTAATATTTGCCCATCGATATTTTTGTCTTCTAAAATTATAGCCACTTCGCCAAAACCGTTCTAAAATCATTTTTTTTTAAATTTTCACCTTAGCCATACTCATTTACATATACCTGTTTTAATTTCTGCAACAGTTCTTCCTTTTTCAGTAATTTAATCTTGTTCAAATCCATATTTTTACATGTATTGCTGTTGCAGATACCTAAAAAATGGGTAGTTCTAGATGCGGAGATGAAATCACAATGCCACGAGTTATCAGTTCTAGATACCCATTTCCTTTCCACACAGCGACAAGTCCATATTTAAAGTGTTTATGTAAATTACTACAATGTGGTTTAATACGTTTTACAGGCATGGATTAACCTATGGTGAGGCTCGGGGATACAAGCTCTACACAGGTCCTTCTAAAAAAAACATTAAATATTAAAACCTAAGTTTTAGTTTGATTCCAAAAAAAGTCAAACCTAAATACTTTTTAGTTTAATTTTGCCAGATCTTGCCGAACCTCTCCGATCTCGTGTGGCCCCCGTGCCCCCCACCCACACCTAAAGCCGGGCCTGACGTTTTATATAAAAGTATATTTACTCTTCTAAAATATTATAATTAGGTATGCACATATTTTGAATTTTTTAGTAAAAGAGGCCTATTAGTAATTGCATGCTTCGGAAAGGTAGATTTTTCACTGATGTACCTACTGTTAACATTTCATGACATTTGGACGAATAGAAGCGGAGATAATGCATCTGTAGTGCCAATATCTTTGTGTCATCAGTACAAAAGTGAGCATCTAACAAAGAGCTAATAATTAATTATAAGTTTTGTTTTAAACTTGATAAAACTTTTACCGATACGTTTCAATTGATGAACCGAGTTTATGATGATGATTGTTTAACTCATGACAGAGTTCATGAATGGCATACGCTACATGGAAATACTGAATGAAGTTAGTACTTTCAATGAGTTGGGTAATAGGGCATTACAAAAAGAACAAGCTTGGAATATGCATCCTTTGTCTGGAACAGGGTATTAGATAATATCTTTTATCCACGACTATTGTATAATGTACCCATTATACGTCTGTTTGCTCGACTTTAATAATACCCATTAATCACGGCAGTGATTAATGAGTCATTAATCACTACTGTCAGATGCTTCCTTAATTTAGCTATAATATTATATTGTTCTGCTACAAACAATCCGTTTTTAAAATTTTATCGTGTAAACCACTAAATATTTTCAATTCAGTGCTGTACATATAAAAAAAAAATTAAAAAAGTGAATTTTCCTAGACCGGATTCGAACCCGGGACCCGCGGTTGGAAGGGAAAGAGCATCTACACTGAGCCATCAGCGACTTCATTTGTGCGAGTCGTATATCTGTTTCTTAACATACCATGTTTTTCGAAACATTTCAAAAAAAACTTCAACAAAAATATTTAGTAGTCGTGGATAAAGTATAGTATTCTACTCCCGTATAATGGGTATTATTCACTCGGTGATTTAGGCCACTCGCCTGCGGCTCGTGGCCGTAAACTTCACCTCGTGAATAATACCCATCATTATACGCTCGTTGAATAATATATTATTATAACAAGATATTTTTCTTAATAGAGTATTTAATGATGTGTTTAGTGAGGAAAAATAACAACTGCAATCTTGACTGTAAAGGTTCAGTAAATAAACCCAAATATTGTGCAAACAATGAAAAAAAAATATGGTGATATGTACATATTACTGCATTCAGAAAAAACAAAAACTTGGCCTATATCTTTGAATTGCCACAGTCAATTGTTTTCATTATAGATTGTTTTGAAATCGCAATAAAGTTTATTAAAATTTTGACTATGCCATTTTTTCCTAGATAGAAAGGTAAAAAAGATAAGGGGGTTAGAATGTTATGTGAACGACCTTGTATATTAACAAAAATAAACATTTATCTGACATTGTTCTGAAGAAAAACTGAAAGTTATAAGAATATAATTTCAAAAAACATAAATCTTCTTGACACTCGTGTTAGATTTTAATGTAATAATCTCTTTTATTTATTTTATGTTAATGCTATTTTGTATTAATTTACGTAAACAATTCCCTATAACCCAAAAATAGTAGCAAATACCATAATAAACAAAGAGGTCATCTTTTACATAAAAATGTTTAACAGTTCAGAAGCCGTCATAAAATCAAAATTATTTTCACTGGCATAAAAAAATTCAGGGGCAGAATGGGTTAGATATCTTTCAGATCTATGCCATTGGATGGCTTTTTGATTGGAAACTTTTATCAAAAATTGTAGTTTAATATCACGTGACCAAATAAGTTTGTTCATTTCTCAGTTACTGACTAAAATGATTTAATTTTGTTTTCAATATCTGTACCCTAAACATTAATAAATGCACAGATACTCAAGAAGAACTTACAATATTTTTGGTGTTTTATCTTTGCTCATTTTTTTTACATTGCTTCGAGTTACACTGTAAATAGTAATCCAAATATCAATTAAATGGTTAAATATGAAAAATTCACACAGAGCTATCAACTTTCTTATTAGTTATTAATCGCTGAAACGACAATAACAAACTTAGAAATCGTGTTCTTTCCACATCCTACTAGTATCACAAAAATGTAAACCCTCCTTTAGCATTAAGTTCGAAGAGGAAGAAGATTTTGGTGCTCCGTTCCTCCGTCAGTTTCGCGTCTTACTACATCCATGCTTAAATGTCTATGATTTAAAATTCCCGCCGACTATTTCTATTTGTTTAACATTTAATAAATAGTTAATAACTGACGTGACATTCTAAGTAAACCAGAATAGAAGCATTATTATTTATATTATTGGAGAAGTCAAATGCATTTTATAATTTAACAGTCGTGATATCGTCCAACGGTAATAACTAATAATCGGTCGGTAGTAATCAGCTGATTTAGCACTGTCACAAGTCACAACTGCCAGGCAAGTGTTACTACTGTCAAATTCGTAAAAAAATGTTGAATTGATTTGTCCTCTGCGTTGTAAAATAGGGACAAATCAGTAACGAATTCGTCTAAAAATGCATACAATTATTTAAGAAAACCACACAAAAATGAATTTACATCAAATCGTGAGTGGCGCTTGCAATGGTGGCGATAAATGTTTTGCTGTAGGATCTGTGGAAGGTGTTCCCTTTACCGTATGAATTTAATTACATTTCATCTAGGCAGTTCGAAAATATATACTTTTAGGCCTATGCAGCAGGGTGTAACATCGTTATTCTTGCTTCCACATTTGAGAGAGTGCAGATCATTCCAGGGGCAGTACATGATTATATTCGAATAAGTTCTATTGATTGTTCAAGTGACACTGGAAAAATTGCTGCTGCCTATGATGATAGTATTTGTATTTATGAGCCTACGCCCTTAATACATAACAATTCTGTACATGTAAGTAATAATGATTAAATGACCCCATATTTATTCTTATTTTTCTCATAGAGATTACTCAAATTTATTATTGGGTGTGGTGAAACATCCTAATTACATTTATGTAGCGTTGCAAAGAAGCTATTCGAGCTATGTTACAATTTGGAAATTTGCTAAAATTTCTCAAGTTTCTCATTACACCAGATGAATCAAATGGCATCTAATGCATCTACGTTTCTAATTAAACCTATGAATTTGTTGGTGAGGCACCTTTTCATCTAATGAGCTGCTTCCTGTGACAGTACATGAATATTAATTATTATTAAGTTTTAAACCATTTTACTTCCGTCGAATTGTGACACTCAACAATCAGAACTCTAATATGGTTGCAATGAGAAACACTCAGACAGCTGCGGGTTTAATAATTCAAATGTTTCAGATAAGTAAGTTTCTCATGTTTTAAGTGAGAGTAACTCTAAAATGGCTAACAATGTAACAATAATTGCTCAAGAAATGTTTTCAGTAGTAAGTTGGGCATTTAAAAAATCGTATCAAATTCATTAACTCCAGTGGTGTGCTATTTTTTTCTACTTTAATAACAGTGAACACCCTACATTACACTACCCTACACTGGTGTAGGCAAACAGCTAGTTCTGGTCCAATCTATGAGTATAAAAATACAATGTGTAAATTCAGTGACTAAATCGAAATCAGTTCCGAGTAACAGCTTATTTTTATTTAAGGCTCTGTATCCCGGTAACGAAGCATTTGCGTACCCATGTTTAGTTTTCGTGTTATTTTCACGTTCTGTTATGTTTTTAATAATTAAAATACAGACATCTTTTGTTTCCATCAGTACTTTTAGTTTTTTATTTCTAATTTTAAAATGATTATTGTTATAAATAAGTGTACATTATTTCAGAGATTTCTTAAAAATTCTACTACATATAAGACTTTTAAGGTATTTATTTATTTGAGAAACATTTTAACAACCGTGTTTGGAGTTTCAATTTATAATTAATATATTTAAGCTACTTAATTAACAAATTCAATTCTCTCTTAATCTGGTAAATAAAAATCAAAAGTATATTACCAGAAAACCTATTATATTTAAATGATTCTAGCCTTTTGAATTCGTTAATGTTGTGAAAAATTCAGGTGGAGATTTCTTGTAAAAAAATAAGAAAAAAGTTCATATAGACATGTGTCGAAAGCACCTTGTGTTGCGGATATAAGATGTTAAAAAAAATCACGTTTTCTAAAATATCTCTGAAGATGTTTAAGGTAAAGTAATGAGGCTTGAATTAAATTTAACTAAAGGTAAAAATTTACTGAATTTAGACATAAATGATTTAACCACTGGTGGAAATACCGCAAATTACTATTTCTAAGCACACATATAAATTTGACGCCTCGAATATCAGTATTATTCCTATTTTCATTTTTGAATTTTTTTAGACGCCAAATTTCTGTTGTCCATTTCTGAACACATGTTTATAGGAAATTTTTTATTATTTTTTTGCAGGGAATCTAAATTTAAACTTTTGCAATATTAATAAATCACCCTGAATACTGCTATAAATCTAAATGTCATTTCTCAATACATAAGGTGCTATATTTACCAGGTTAAAAGTTCAGCCTCATCTGGACACTTGTTTGCTCATTTTTCTAATATTCATTGAATGATGAAAAATATTTAAGTATCAGTATTTGTTTAACTATACTTCAAGGTACAAATTTATGTCTAGTTTAGGTAATGATATGCCTTTTTTAGCATTTCCCTTCAATACATTGTAGATCTTGCCGTTTTAATCAAAATTGCTAAATAATATAAAAGAAAACTGGTATGAATGTTCGAATCATTCAATGTTTGTGTGAAATATAAATAATATTTCACTTAAACAGTACTTTGCAAAAATTCATTCATAGTCATCTCGCATTTCTTTTAATTTCATTTCCCCATTATTTAGATATAAGTGGTTTGAATTTGCTCAAAGAGTGTCCTATTTGCTATTAACGTGTGCCTTTACCACGTACTTCTGTTTTTTTTTTGACACTTTTCCATAATAACATACACTACGAACTAGGGTCTGGACTATAGATGGGTACAAACAGGTACTTTAAAGACCGACTCGCCCATAAGGGCGTTGAGTTGGAATTTAGAGGGTACTCGACTTCTGACTGCCGGTGCTCAGGTGCAGCTTTGGCACTTGAAACAAACTGTCCAGGAAGAGAAGCCCAACGTTACTTTTACCCTTGGGGGTGGCCACAGTGATGGGGGAGACGATGGGGATTTGCACGATGAACCAGATAGGCCTCAGGGTATGATTTTTATATCCGTATTTAGTGATTTGAGCCATGAATATGTCCAAATGATCTTAAATTCTCGTAAATTTTGTTCCAATTGGAATTTTAAATTTTAAGGAGGTTCGATACTGAAAAAAAAAATGGTAAGAAAGTTTTCAAAGCTATTGAAATCTATTAATAAATATGCAAATGCCCCGTGTAAAAATATCATACCGATTGCCAACGTAGTTTTTTTGAAAAATATTAAAAATTATGCTCTTATACACAGGCTCTTATGGGAGTTAGGGAAAAAACTTTTATCAAACGTGAATATTGTTCTTAAAAATGGTTAGGATCGGGAAAATAAAATTGTAACTAAATAATTAAATATTACTAAACATTTTAAAACAATAAAAATATACATTTACAATGTAATTATTGAGATAATGGAATGAATGGATAATGTTTTGACAAATTTGATCAAACGTGATCCAATGAAATGAAATATGGCAACACTGTACGCTGTATTTAACGCTTCGACTGAGGCGCTATATTTGAATAGCTCGATTACAGTCTACAAAATTATTCCAGTCAAAAACATATGTAGTAATAATTAATATTAAATAAATTTTTCATGATCTAATGCAATATAGTAGTAATTTGAAACAAAAATTGAAAGGATCTCTTTGCAAAACGAACAGTATAGATGTTCTGTCATAATTCATTCAATTTGACAAGGCGATGTCTCACAACCATCCACCGAGCTTCTTGATAGTTATCATATGGATTCTCGGTTTGCACATTTTACTTTTTTCTCATCAATCCACATTCTGTTTCATACACATTTTATATTCCTTTTCAGTCATTACTTTTCCTTTGTATCTTGGATGTTCATTCCTGTTTACGGTATGCACGCTAAACACAGTTGACAGTGTTGACAGTTGACCCAACTTTTGCACCACGCCATACTGATGTACAATGTTGCCAGATTTCACCCATAATTTTACAAGCTCTCAATGAAAGACACTTTTATTCAAATAAAAAGTTAATTACCGTGCATTAAACACGAAAATATATGCGAGCTTATATATGTTGTATAAATTTCATTCGCATATATCATATTTAGTTCACTTAAATTAGTTTATGTAAGGTTGGTACTACAACGAAACTGCCATGTATAAGCATAGGCTTCCCTCCCGCACCGCCTGCCCCGCAAGAGATCTATCGAACCTCCTTAAGCAAGAGTAATTCATTATTACTCAGTTCAGTACTTAAATTTGCCCATTTTTTTTTGTGGCGCTGCGTTAGTGACAATTATTATACAGTGTGTCCCAGAAGTAACGCAAAAAATTCGTATTTTATTATGTGTTGCGTTTTCACAAAAACGCTAAAACAAGTCAATTGGTAAACAGGAATTGTCATTTTGTCACGTTGCTTAAACCTTTTTTGCGCTATGTTTCATAAACCTATGACATCATCGATATTTTTTTTTAAATAGCACTACCTAATCTTTTAAGCATAAATGGATAGTCCTTTTGAGAGGAAATACGTCAATATAGGGTTTGGCCTACTTTACTTTGACAGGAGCGGGAAAAAAGCCAATGACTGCAATGGACATGGTTTAAAATAACAACAAAAGTAGGTATCATAAACTGATGCGAGAACAGCAAAAAATGGAAATTTGGAGATGTTTTGTGTTTTGGTTGATTGTAGGTACGTTTTTATGTATTGATATGTTGGCGTTTTCGGCGATATGACGAACGGCAGTGTGTGGATTTTCAGTGACAGCTAAACATAACATTTTGCCTATCATTTTCTATCACTGTCGTTGGCCTTCCAGATCTAGACAGATCTCTATCATGTCCAGCGTCTTCAAATTTGCGTACTAATCTGCATACTGTAGACGGAGGTATTGGTTGTTCTGGATACTTGGCATTGAATAATTGACATACTTCATCATAACTACAGATCCTGTCTCCGTATTCAACCATAATTAGGATTTCAATTATTTGTTTCTGATTTAAACACAACACCATCGTAATGTAAAGTTATGGTATTTGTAACTGTCACAATGAAATGAGGCACTATTGCATTCGCTAACTGTCATCTTCAAAACAATATCTACATAGCTGCTGTGATCGGGTGTATCAACCAAAACACTTTTTTTGCTATAGCACTGTTTGCGCATAAGTTTGTAATACCTACTTTTGTTATTAATTCAAACCATGTCCATTCCAATTGTTGCCTTTTTTCGCACCTGTCAAAGAACATAGGCCAAACCCTATATCGACGCATTTCCCTTCAAAAGGGCTATCCATTTAAGCTTAAAAAATTAAGTAGTGCTATTTAAAAAAAAAATTCGATGACGTCATAGGTTTATGAAACATAAAGCAAAAAAGGTTTAACCGACATGACAAAACGACAATTCCTATTTACTAATTAACGTGTTTTAGCGTTTTTGTGAAAACTCAACACAAAGTAAAATACGAATTATTTGCGTTACTTCTGGGACGCACTGTATATAGTGACAATGATATAAAGAACAAAAGTAATAAAATCTCATTTTATAAAGGACTATAAGCAGTTTAGAGCATAAATATTTATTGTCCACAGCTGTACATATTAAATTTTTTCTCAATTTCCTTTTAAATAGTATTATACTAAAAAATAATAAAACATCCTTTTTTTGTTAACAAAATAACCAGATAGTGAATATAAATATTTACATGAAAACTTGATATATTATTCGTGTTTACACTATTTTTTTTTTTAATAAACTATCGGTTGTACAAAATATTGATGTTGATAAAAAATATGACTAACACTAAACAATTATCAAACGGATATTTATTTTTAGTGTAATTGACATGACGAAATTACAATACAGACTTTATAACCTTGATACAAGCCAACAAAATTTTTAGAACAAGAACAAACATCTTGGCACTGCGTTTGGAAAGCGAATACTGCCATTCCGGTGCAGCACCTAGCGTTTAGCCCCGATGGCACCTTATTTGCCACTTGTGGAGAAAACGACAGACTTGTCAAGATTTGGTATGAAAATAAACATTGTGAGTTGTTGGTATTAAACGGGTAAATTTGTTATACTGTAATTGATTTAAAAATTGTAGTTCTCTTTACATCCAAGAGTACTGATGGACCATTGGAGCTGGAATATGGATTTGTATACATTGCCCACCCCAGGGCTGTTACACATCTGTCATGGCGAACTACCAGCAAATATATGCCTAAGTATATTACTTTATTACAGATTTAAATATAGTTAATAAATCAAATACTATACAGAATGTGGCTTGTATAATATACAAAAATTAAACTACAGCTTCCTGATGATATTTGTAATAGAAAAAGTTCATTTATTCAATGAAAATGAAGGCCGACCCTGTGTTATTTATTAAAAACTGGAAATGTTTTTATGCGACCCGAGATGTAACCTTATAATTTAAGTCGGCATAATCTAATACTAGTAATACTAAAAGAAGGTTAGGTTACATTGTCAAATATTTTGTGCAGTCAACTGATTTTGTATATGTATTGAACACATTATTCACTTAATTATTAAATATTAATCATCGTCCATCGACCTATCAGTGTTAACAAGTGAAAGATTCCAGACAAAAGTTCTTATTTTGCAATTCCACGATAGTGGCAGTGTAATTCTTATAAAGAAATAAAAAATAAGAGTACATTAAAAACGAGATTCTTATTTCTTACTTTGCTTAATTTTTTAGTTTGTGCACAAACTAATTTTACAATGAACCGAGAAAACAATGCATTTACTATTTCCGAAC